CAAGGAAAACAGAACGTCGGTCGGTGATAACATGGATGTTTAAACCAGGGCTAGGTTATAAAACAATGTTTGAATTGCTTTGACAACAGTCAAGATAGTTTTTTTGATTGTATATTTGTTTTATTTGTATGTCTGCTTCTGTCTCCTGGAACCCCAGTCGGTCTCAGCAGATGGCCGCTCACAGTGAGCCTGGTTCTGCTGGAGGTTTCTTCCTGTTCAAGGGGAGTTTTTCCTCTCCACTGTCGCTACAAGCATGCTTAGTGTGAGGGATTGCCTTCTAATCAATGAGTCGATGCAATCAACTGGTTTTCCTTAGATAGAAAACTTTGAATCAATCTGACTGTAACATCTGGTGAACTGTAAAGTGCCTTGAGATGATGTGTTGTGACTTGGTGCTATAGAAATTAACTGAATTGAATATAATTTATTCTATTCTATGAGGACTACTTAATACAAATACACACTTTTAAAATTTGACAAACTTTGATAGCTTTCTGCATTATTTCAAGTTTTTATGGTTGGATTGTGACGCAGTGTTTTAAAGTGTGTTTCCTCATTCTGATGCAAGAGGAAAGTCAGTGACTCTGTGGAATCAGTCGGTTTTCCTTAGAAACGTTTTAACAGTCTGACTGTATGATCTCATTGAATCTTTTCTGTAAAGTGCCCTGTGAATGGTGCTATATAAATAAGCTGCATTTAAATTGAACATATATTGTTTGAAATAATTGATACTTGGACTCATTGCTTTATTTATTTATTTTTTATCCTTTATTTAACCAGGTAATACCCATTGAGATTAAAAATCTCTTTTGCAAGGGAGACCTGGCCAAGATAGGCTTTAAAATTACATCACATCATTACAAACGTACAAAGACACACACATAAAAGCACATAAAATATGCACTTACAATAAAATTTCAATTAAAACATTAAGGTGAGGGAGTCCAACTCAAAACTTCTAATTCTCAGCTTAAAAGTATTCAAAGGAACCAATTTACTAAGTTTCAAGCTATTTTGCAGCAAATTCCATGTAAAGGGAGCAGAGTAAGCAAAGGCCTTTTTACTAGTGTTTCGCCGATGCTATTTTTTGGCCCCGATACCAATACCCGATACCTGGCTGTGCAGTATCGGCCTATACCGATACCTGGCTGTGCAGTATCGGCCGATACCGATACCATAATAATGCAAAATAATTGCCACCATGGCTTTGTCAAGAAAAAATCTAATACAAAGTGAATCCAGTAGAACTTTTTATTGCCTACCAGGAGTGGGTGACAAAAGTTGAATAAACTCATGGCTCTCAAATTGGTATTGGTGCCCTATTTGTTGATACTCGCCGATACCGATACCCGATACCTGGCTGTGCAGTATCTGCCGATATCGATACCCGATACCTGGCTGTGCAGTATCGGCTGATACCGATACCCGATACCTGGCTGTGCAGTATCTGCCGATACCGATACCCGATACCTGGCTGTGCAGTATC